AAATAAACAAAGAAATTAAAATCTTTTGCACATAAAATTTAGGAATGCTTAACTTTTCCCAGCTGTAACATTTGCCATTAAAACACTGGCATATCATAAAACAACCATAAAGCAATATTTAAATATTTAGATAATTTTATCATTTAGAGAAGTCGAAATCAAATATGTGAGAAACAAAAAGAGCCTATCAATATGTTATTTTTAATAAATAAATAATTCATTAAATATGATTTAATTAAAAAATAAAAAAAAATTAAGAAAATGTACCAACAATTTTGAAATAGTTTAGTGTTTACTCTCTAAAACATTTGCCAACACAACGCTATGCAGTGGAAAATAAAACTACATTAAATAATACTAAATTATAGAGAAAAGCGTGATTTATTGTAAAATTCCTTCTCTGGTCAGGGGATGATAAAAATTAAAACACGCACTGCAAATAAAAATGTATGGGCAAGTTGATTCTTTTAAGTGCATAACTCGCTCATCTACCGATGCGGTTACCATAACAACCACTCACCTCCAATCGATTCCTGCAAATGGCTACTCTCAGGCCAGGGCAACATCAAACTATACGCTGGGAAGACATCGGAAAGGAAATTCTTTTGCTGACTAAATTGTTATCATACGAAAATCTATCTTTTGATTCACTTGGGAAATTTATCTCAAAATCGGAATAAAGAGAATTTTTTTTTAATATATGCTTCAAAATGTTCGCTCTATAGGGAAAGATGAACTATTTTATTATGTAAACGGAGTTGAACAGCTGACACATATTTGGGTTTACTATTAATGTTTAACTCCGTGACCTTGTGCATTGGAACCCTACACAGAAAATAACGGATCATCTGGAACAAGCAAGATTTCATAAAGGAATTTTTAATGAAACCAACCCTCATTTGCTTTACTTGGAGAGGAAAGCCACGAAAACCTTTAACAATTACCCTGATGGTATGAAAATTAGAACCTGCGATCCATCTATCAATGAGGATATTTCACGTAACGTTTAAACAGTCACCACATAACTTGCTAAGGAACATGAAAGTTTTTCGGAATAATTAATAATAGACGTTGATTGATTACATGAAACTCAAACTATATATTTAGTCAAACTCAAACTATATATTTAGTCAAACTCAAACTATATATTAAGTATATATTTAGTCCAGGCGATGTGCATTTATTATTATGCAAAACAATTCAGGTATCGACATATTGAAAAATAATAAAATAAAAAATAAAAAAGGTTTCTCATTGGATGATTTCCAAATAGCCATGAAAAATGGGTATTATTCCCAGAAACAGAAATGAGTAATTTAGTAAGATGCGTGATTACCTAGAACGCTAATGTACATTTTGCATTTGTTATTCATGCTGTCCACTGAAATATCAAAAAGTCATTGAAGTATATTGTCCCACTCTTCTCTTAAGGTGGTTTTCAGCTCTATCACGGTTTTGAAAAGGGCGTGTACTTTGTAAAACACACCTGCCAAGGGCATCCTATATTGGATCCTATATTGGCCATTGCATACGGTCAATATCTTCACTTTCTAGTGTGTCCGATATCGCAGTGCTCCGGAACGACCGCTCTTTGTCGTCCATAAACAGGAAGTCTGGATCTATTACATCCCTAAAAAGACAAGCATGATCCAGAGTAATCTCGCTGCAATGAAACGTTTCTTCGCTTAAAGATGTAAAACGGTGTTCAGCCATTGTGCATGATGCCTGCTCATACCAGCACGCATAGGCCATATTGATTATTGTCATGAACCTATTGCTGTGCACAACGTGTTACCCTCGCTTTCCGCAATAACTGGTAGCCAGAATCACTTGTCATAGTGGATAGGGATTCGTCGGAGAACATCACTCTGGACCCGCACTGCCGGTTATCCCAACCAATACGTTCCTTTTACCAACATAATCTTCCTCGACGATGGTGTGATTAAAGTACGAGGCATCGAACAGGCTTTCGTGAATGCAAACCACATCGCCGTGAGATGCTTCTGGCAAAAACGTGGGTACCGGTAGTGGTTGCAAGGTCTGCAACTATCTGCCTGGGAGTGGCGGTTCTATTCCTTTTCGCTACTGGGGATACATATCATTCCTCTTGAGGTGAGTTGTTCCTCCAACGATCACCGGCATGTTATTACACGGCGTTTCACTCTTTAGCGGTCTTCTTTAATAGCGAGATGATGATTTTTGATACTCTCATTACTGCGGCCACAGTAGTAACATTTTGACCAGCTTCCAATCGTCTAACTGCTTGAACTCAACTAATAGAATAAAAGAACTCAACTGATATCTTGCTAACATTTTGCCCTTAATTACTGCAATATATATAATTAATATTGCACCACACTGAATTTCTCAGAAATAAATCAACAACCTATGGTGCCATTTTGGTCAAATACCTAACATTAAAAATTTTCGAATGACTGAAGAGATATTGTGCACTGCCTTTTATACAGATAATGACTATTGCTCTACCACGCTTTTTAGTCAGTGGCATTTTCTTGGTGTGGAAATGCCTCTTCTGTTGGCGGATCGATAAATAAATTTTAGCTTCTATAAAAATGATCCTTACTAATCATGTGCTCAAACAAATTTATCAATTATGAATGATAAAGCTATTTTAAATAAATAAAAAATTAAAATTTTTTTATTCAAAATTGCATTTAATTTTATATCATGAAAATTAATTAGCTTTAAAAGCTGATAAGAATTTTGTTTGTTTAAGATGTTTGTTTCTACCAAAAATACTTTTTTTCGAATTAAATTTTCAACTCTAAAGGTGAATCATTGATAACATCGTCTTTAAAACACTCTGGCTGTAACATGAGGTTATGTCGTCAAAAAACTCTCTAAATAAAAGTCTCATACAAATATTTTCGATGCATTTTAATCTACTTATTTATTTTGATTTGATATTTTCCTGTGTTTCCTTATTTTGCCTTTTTCCCATTTTGTGCAGATGTTTACCCGGTCGCTGGGAAAGGTTATATATATTTAAGGAGGAATGATNTATAATACACAATGAACAATGAATACAATTGTATCCTCTGTTTAGCGTTGAACGAATTTGTTTGAAAATCTTAATAAGTATGCTGTGGAAACTTTGTTCCATACATTTCGTTCAATTTACTGATCTTATTGAAAAGCGTTCTAATTGTATTCTAATTACCCTTCGAATTGATACAGTATTTCCTTCAATTATAAATTTCAGTATTTCTCGTCATAAAAGTCCTCTATTCTATCATGAATTCATTACATGTGTAAAATGGAAAAAAAGAGCTGGACAATGAGAAAAATAAATAAATAAATGTACAGTAAAGTAGAAGGCAGCATTCCAGAGTTGAAAGAAACATGTAGATTGAACCGATGATCATTGTATTTCCGGTCAATCTCTGTTAATTCAATTTGTTTTTCTTCAATTTTACTAAAATGCCTCTGTCTTCTGCAAATGTTACTGAGCATCACTAAAGCATAAAAAAATAATAAATTTTGCAATAAATTAATAAGTATAATAAAAACAAAAGTATAAAGCATTTTATTTATAATGTTAATTCACTTTTAATGTTTCCTTTCGACTCTGGAATCCTAGGATATCCCTGAAGAATAGTAGGGTTTCCGAGAATTAGGACTTTCTATTGAAAAGGAATTGATTTTTGAAACTTACAATTATACTTAGATCTAATTAATAATACCTTATACCTTATTTGTTTAAGATTTAGTTTGTTTTTATGAAAAGATTTGAAGTAAAATGACGCAAAAAAAGAAAGCAATTTTTTGTTAAATACATGCAATTTTTCAATAATAATATCTTGAATAAATTAAGAAAAGGAAATGTATTTAGAACATAAAATTACAATGGTATTTCCCACCGCGCTTTTCAAACCAAATTAAGAAACCAAATTCGTATATAAAGAAATATACTTTCTTTGGAACCATTTTCCACGTTTCAGCTTTCATTTCAACGAAAAATGTCAGCCAGCTAATTTGTTTCAGCTCATGTATTTGCATCAAAAATGAATTCATAAATAGACTAAATATAGTTCGAAGAGAGCAAATTCTACTGTAGGAATGGAATTTAATGTATACAAATAAATATAACTTGATTTGAGATTATAGATGATAAACATTTCCTTCCTCTTATTTAATTTTATGCGGCGTTGAAAAGTCATTTTTTAGTTTAAGACTATCAACGTTCAACTCTGTAGCTTTGTTATTTTAAACCCATTCCGGAAGACAAGTGAACTTCTTTGCTCAAGCATTGAGGCAAACTAACCCTCAGGGGTACTAGTTGATTGAACTAATTCTAATATACGTTACATGGTGTAGAAAACCACAAAAACCTCCCACGGTTCGACGAGAGGATTTCTATTGTTCATCTGCCACAGAGGATATTTTATGTCAATGCTGTGATGAGTTCTAGCTCTCTAATTCCCTCATTCTCCTTATTATATTTTTTCTGAATAAAGTAGTCTTTTAATGGGTTATACAGTCACAATTCTCGTTATTAACTTTGTTTATAAAATTGGATTTCCGCCGAAAGAAGTCAGATCATTTAAAGTTTCCTAGCTCTAAAAAATGCAAACTACAACCATAAAACAAAATTAATAAATTTTTTTTATTATTTTATTTTATTTTTATGGATAAAATTTTATGTTGTTATTATTTTGAAAGGAAACATGTGTTAGCAAGAATTTTAACATAAACCTCTTGTTTACAAATGGTTCAAAATCAGAATATCCATTTGCAGATTCCGGAAACTCCCGCAGCGAAGAAAAAGAAGGAGAAAAAGAAGAAAGTTAAATGAAGGAATGAGGATAAAACGTAACTACTATCGATCACGAGAGAAGAAAAGGGGGATAACTACATTCATCGTCCGTATGGAATTTTCCAGTAAATCTCAAGCCGTATTTGGTATAAAAAAAAAAAAGAAAAGAAAAAGAAGGAAATATTGGAATGCGCAGGATGAGGAAGGGGGGTTGCGACTGCAGCGCCCGTGTTTGCGTGACGTCATCAGATGAGGGAAATTCTGCAGCATCCAACACATCATCCGCATCTTCTGGATAAGGGAAATAATAAGAATGGGAGGGCGACTGTCCACTCCGGGATGATACGAAAGAAACGGACGAAAGCGGAATGGACGGCGGATGAGGACCGGATAGGTCCGCAACATCATACCTTACCACCTACATTACTATAGGCAAACGGTGAGTCCACCCCCAATTCAAAAGATTCTTCCTACAATAGTGTGCTCCTGGATAACTTCGATGAAATCTTTAAGAAACAACTTTTGTTTCGCTAAAAAGAATCTTTGCTCCAATATATTTCTTCATAACATCACTTAAAATGCTACAAATTGTCTTGCAACGGATAGTTTATGTTTCTATCGAAGTAAAAGTTTCATTTCTTCCACGGTTTGTTATTATTATTTTTTTATTCCCAAATCTATTTCTTATTTACTTTAAGAAAGTAACGTGAAAATTGCTTTTGAGCAGTTCTCATAAGGTCTGAGCATAACATAGATTTAAACGTAAGCTTAAATTTGATAAAATTAATCCACAGTCATATTTCAGAGTAAGTTTAAAATTTGATCTAGTTGACAATAATTAGTATAAATAATTTCTAAAATACTCTATAAACGCCGATTTTTTATAACTCTAAAGGGCAAATTTCGGACATTCATACTGTTAGCTGAGCCAATTGTAACACCATACTAAAAAAATAAGTAATTTTTGAACGTTTTAAAATACTAATTTAAATATCAATCGAACGAATAATATCTTTAATATTATATTCGTTATACGTGAAATTTTTTTAGCAAAAGTAATCATAGTATTTTGAACGATCGAAACAACTATTGTTTCAACAGAAAAATACTTTAAAACTTAGTTATCCATCCTTAAATTTTTTAAAAAATATTTTAAAGGCAGTATCGAATCTTTTAAAACCAAAACATAAATGGCGGCAAACGATTTTTATCCGCAATGTTCTCTGGAGCAGCGGTTCGCAATATTTTTCCCTGACGAAACCCTAAACAATCGAGTTTCTTATGGCGGAATTCCAATTTTATAGATAAAGTTCAGTAGCAGTTAGGAATGTATTAATCAGAGAAAGACTACTAATTATTTTAAAATATAAAATGTAAAGACTGAATTTCATTGTTTTATCATTCAAATTAGGTCATGCCTAGTTAAAACAGTCATGTTTTATGTCAGACTATAGTATTCTACGCGTAGCTACCTGTATAAGCTAAACATAAATGAACTAAACTGAATAATGGTTTTCGAAAAATATTTGTTTTAAACGTTGAGAATGGATGGATATCAAAGAATGATAATTTTATATTTTTCAATTTGGTTATTTTATTTTGAATTTAGAACTTTAATGAGAAATGCTGATAGATTTTTTTTAATTAATGCAGATTCTTTTCATAATTTATATACTATATCTTATTATAGATTTTCTTTTTATGTTTCTACTTCTTTTTTTATTGACAATTTACACAATTTCATATAAATAAGCAAAATAATAAATAAAAGTCCTTACTGGTTAAAAAAAAGTATTGACTATCGGCAATGATCACAACTTTCATAGTTTTCTCTATAAATTTATTGAAATCTGATGATTTCGACACTGAAGGTTACTATAGTGATAATTTATTGAAATAGTAAAGTATTTTTCAGAAATAGTAAATATTTAGGGCACATAACTAATATATGTTTAAAATTCAAAGTTAGATTCGTTTAACATTTTTTTTCTCCTTTTAAGAAGTGTTCTTTCTCTTTAAAGTAGTAAATTCCTTTGCCGCTGTTTTGGGTGTCCATCTTTGTTGCATTTTATTTTTGGCTTAAAATATTGAAATTACGAAGATGTGAAGATAAAATTTATGATTGTGCAAAAAGAAAATTAACATTCACTTATCAATCGAGAAACTGTTAAAATAAGAAATACGAAGTGGAACAGTCTGCAGAAGTGCAAATGAAATTACGTGCTTTTGAAAAGGTAAATTTCATTCATAAAATCAACGCGAGTTTTTTTTTTTTTAAATTCTAATGTTTTTAAAACTTATTGTAATTTTAATGAGATTCGTACTCGCCTGGAAAAAAATAATAACTGGTATTTTGTTGCTGAAAATGTCTTAATATTAGCTTCTATTATCGAATTAAAATTTAATATATCCACTAATTTCGGATCTATATATATTTACTTAGAGAAAATAAAATATTCTGGTAACTACAAGCATAATAATATAATTAATTTATACTAATATTATGAATTTTTTTTTTAATTTTTCCGAGTGCGCATGAACTACTGTTGAAGTGCGTTTTTAGCAATTTTTTTCTCTCTCGTTTTTTTGCTTTAAATAATGACTATTTATCCACTTTTGTAGAAAAACTTATTCTTCTCAAGATATTCATTTTATGGGCTTAAGCTTGAATTGATGTTAAAATTAACAATAAAAAATAAGAGAGTGAATGATTAGATGTTGACAGATATAAATCTTAATATTTGTAGAGAAATTTTTAAAAATGTAATAGGCTCAAGAGATAAAAACTGTATCCAATTTGAACTGTTATTTGATGTAAGATTATCGTTAAATACCGTTAACAAGTGAAATTACTTCTAATTTATTGCTTCTTATGCGTCACGTATTCTGTACTTGTAATTTTTTTTTTAATGCAGTTGATTATTTTTCAAATCAGGTATCCGTTAATTTCGTTTCCAGTAACATACGAATAAAAAAAACAAGATGAAATTATAGGGAACGGTAAATGATATGAATGATATTTTTATGATGATATTTTGGAAAATGATGTTTTTTTTAATCGATTTTTAAAAGGGAAAAAACCATAGTGAATGATGGAAAGCTACGGGTATTTTAAAATTTTAAATTTTAAGCTTTAGCTAACACTTAGATAAGACGTTCCCAATTACTAATACTTTGATTCGTTCTATTAATAGTAATCCTATAATTGGAGAATGGGTTATTGTATATATATATATATACAATAACCCATATATATATATATATATATAGGAGTATT